TTGCAGAGTTACCCACTGGAGCTGGAACTACTCTACCATCAATGCTGCCATCCATTCCTGTAATGTTTTCAGTAATTATTTATCTTTATATGTTATGGTGTTGTACTGTTGTTTGCTGATGGCCTTCAAAAGATGAAACTGTGAGAATATCTGCAGTCTAAGTGGCTTGGCAACTTTCTATAAGTATATTATAGAAATGTTGCCCCACTTAGAGTTGCCATACTCCCATAACACCCATTACATCCATTCTGGATCTCTGGTATTTCTCTCATCCTCTTAACTGATCTCTGTTCAGTTTTAATGCATTATTATTTATTCTTACTTGTTTTTTTGGCAATGATGATGCTTCCACCACTGTCTGAACAAATGGTATAGTGTTGCTATGTTGCTCATGTGCTATAATAACACATTTGAGCAATTTGTCACTATCCTAGCTTGAAATGGAAAATTGCAATCTGAGCCTATAAGGCTATTAGCCTAATGCCCCTACTTAGTTAGCTGTTGACTACATAGGTTGTCTAATAATCTAATATTCTGTTAAGTTTTCATATTAACAGGAAGAAGTGTAGTCGTGTAGAAATGGTGAATGGTGATTGATGATTTGATGAAAAGGCCTAGACTGGATTACTTGAATGATTGCTGACTTGCTGTTTTGCTGAAGTTCTGTTTAAGTGATTAACTTCAAATTTGTAATGTTTTGGAAGTTAAACACTTAAACTTATATTCTTTATGTATTCGTTTACTTTTTGCACTTTGGTTTGTAAACTTGAATTATTTTGCTCTCCAAACTGTCCATTATTAAGTTGTTGCATCACTTGCATGTTTTAGTTTGTTAATTTATTAGTTATTACTTATTTTGTTAATCATATTATCATTATTATGTTTTTTCAGTTTTTTATTTTCAATTATCAATGAACTTTTCCAAATCCGAATTAGGTCCGACATCCGATCCGAGTAGTCCGAAATCCGACATAGCATATCCGATAGGGTTTTAGTTTCAAAACGGACGGATAGGACTTCAAAATTTCAATCCGCAATTCGATCGGATGAACGGAAAACCAGTCCGATCCGATCCGATCCGATCCGTCCGTTGCACAGCCCTATAAAAAACATTCATAGACTTTTATCGACTTTTTATTTTAAAAAGTCTACAAAAGTCATTGAAATTCTAAATTGAATACATCCTTACAAACATTCAATGATTTTTATTCTTATCATTTATAATTTTCTTACAAAACATTTATAATATATCATAAAATTCTTCTTATTATATTATTTTTGAATGCTCTTATTATATAGTTCTTCATCCATATCAACATTCTCAACATTATTATTTTTATCCATAGTATGCTGAGACTTATATGCTAATTACTTATTCTTCAAAAAAAAAAATGCTAATTACTTATATATATTATTAATAAACATCAACAAAAAAAACTATTTCATTAGAAATTCATAACAATATTGAACAATAAAATTTATAATAAAAGAATTAATCAAATAAAATATTTAAAAATATAATTACAAGTTGCATAAATAAAAAATAAAAAAATAAAAAAATAAAAATCTAATATTAATAATATATATACAAGTTTTCAAAAAAATAATATATATAAAAAATTATACTTGATATATTGCTAGGCTTCCTGCAAAGAGCTATTATTTGCAATAGTAATTTGAGACTGTGAACAACAAGGTGTTACTGTTTGCAACGCCAAATTGTTGTTGCGAATAGTAGTTCGCTATTCGTAGTAACCTGTTGTTAATATATATATTACGAATATAAACATAATAAAAAAATCAAAATATATAAATATTTATATGAATATTATGAAACATATACTAAAATTTGAGGATGAAAATTTTGATTTGTTCATGTATTTAGGGAGAATTAGAGAAAGTTAGGGATAAAAAATTTATATAAAAATAAAAATCAATATAAACAAGCAATAATAATGAAATAGAAATAATATTATTTCGAATTTTTAGATAAAGATTGTAAAGTTTAGGAGAGAGAGAAAAATTGGTAGAGTTTAGGTATGAGGAAAATATAGGATAATGAAGAAAAAAATAATTTTATTGAATTTAGATAGGTTTATAAAATTTAAATATGGAAAAAATAAAGTTTAAATAGAGAGAGAAAACATTCAAAGTTGTTAGAAAGAAAATTTTGAAATCTTGGGGTTGATGGTTGGATTTCAACTATTTATATTAGACCAGGAAAAGTCTACAAAAGTCTTAAAATTAAAAAGTCTACAAAAGTTCATAACTTTTTGAATACCACATGACTTTTAAAGACTCTTTAAAAGTCTTAATCGAATACCACACGACTTTTAAAGACTCTTTAAAAATCTTGATTGAATACCGCCTGACTTTTAAAGACTCTCTAAAAGTTTGAATTGAATACCTCCAAACTTTTAAAGTTCATAAAAGTCTTTAAAACTCTATGAAAGTCATGATTGAATACACCCCCTAAATGCAGGACTAAAAATTTGAAAAACAAATAAAAGTCAATAATGTAATAAGACAAAATTTAAAAAGTATGACTAATTGTGATAATGCTGCAGTAATAATCTAAAGTGCACCCATGAACTATAAAATGCACCTGATATGAAAGTGCAATGCACTTAAGGTTTGCTTTTAGTCTTTATCGTTAGACTTTTTAGTTTGGGTTAGAGGTTCACATTTTAGTATTTATTGTTTATCTTTTTGCTCAATAATCTTTTGGTTTAGTTTTCAAGATTTATCAATAGAATGCCAATAGGAAAAGTCATTAGAATGATTAAAAGTCTCCAAAAATAATAGTCTAAGATGTTAAATGACAAAAACGATAGTCTCAATTAAGTAATATAGAAAGAATTACTAAAAGATGAGTTAGTTTATATGGTTAAGTACGTATACGACCTCTGTGTGTGTGTGCGCGTGGACGTGTGCAATTATTAAGGTTTTTTTTTTTTTTTTTTTTCATAAAATATCTCATTTGTTTTTATTTTTTACCCCTACGGGAGAAAATTTTGGCTTCGTCCTTGAATAGATACACTATGTAGTTTTGTTAAGTTGTACTGAAAAGATCATAGAAGACAACTCATTTATGATTCCAGTTAGTCAGAGAAGAAGAAAAAAAAAAAAAAAGGAAGGATCAAGAATGTTGAAACCCGATCATTCAAATAGAACAAACAGATCGAGAGTCCAGTGCCTATGACTATATTGAAAAATGTACTCTATAGTATTGTTAAATACATTTTAAAGTATATATGGAAGAGTAAATACCCAAAATGGTCCCTCGACTATAGCTAAATTCACAAATTGATCCTCGACTTTTAATTTCAACCAATTAAGTCCTTAACTTTGTAATTTTAACACAATTTGGTCCTCTGTCTATTTGACCGTTTGTTGACTGTGATTTTTGAGGATATATATGTAATTTCATGGTCCATCGTCGGTTTTTTAAGGTTCTAGTTGCATTTCCAGACTGCACTGTTACATTTGAATCCACTGCCGAAAGCAATCTACCAAATCCGATCGCCTTTCTTCGTCCTCCCTTTGGATTTAATGTAGTTGAATTCGTACCAGAGCGAAGAAGACGACATGTTTCTGAACCAGTGCAACGTCATCCTGGAGGCCTCCATGTGCTCCGACGAGAGCTGAAGGTTCTTCTGGAGATCGTCGATCACGGTCAACAAACGGTCAAATAGATGGAGGACCAAATCGTGTCAAAATTACAAAGTTAAGAACTTAATTAGTTGAAATTGAAAGTCGAGGACCAATTTGTGAATTTAGCTATAGTCGAGGGACCATTTTAGATATTTACTCTATATGGAAGCTAAAATTTGTATATATACCCCTTTGGGGTATTCCCTCCGTTGGATGTAAAAAAAAAAAAAAAAAAAAAAAAAAAAAAAAAAAAAAAAAACATTTTAAAGTTTGAATTATTTATAAAAATATTACCACAATTTTTTCTCTAATTGTTTTAGTTCCATTTTATCTTTGATTGGTTCACAATTTCTTCTTGGGCATGCAATTCTCAATTAAACGTGCCTATAATAGCTATAATACACGTACTCATTATGTGATTAAACTAATGCCCAATATGAAAAAATGTGTCGAATGAACTGAACTTATAATTTTTGTACAACTAAACTTAAAATGTGTTTAATTGAAGCATTAAAAATACAAAATATATGCAATTGATTTTTTTTTTTTTTTTTCAATTTCTCCCTATAAAATTCGGTCACATTACTTTATATAAGAGTGACTACAGTTCAATTCGAACAAGAATCGTGCACTGTGCAATTGCAAATTTCACTGAAACTGTCGATTCAAGAACCAAAACCGTAACCTTTATATTAAGGTTCCAATTTCAATTTGGCCATTTGCAGAACTAAAACGGTTTCGAACCAGAACCAAAACCACAATCACCCCTACTTATATAACAATTGGAAATGATTATATTGGAGCTAGCTGTTCCCTTGTTTTAGTATTTATTTTGTACGAATGAACTAGTATTTTTTAAAAATAATTTGATCAGATAAATAAGATATTATTGCTTAATTTCCTTGGCTTTTAATATATATATATATATATATATATATATATATATATATATATATAATACGCTCATTATGTGATTAAACTAATGCCTAATATGTAAAATAAAAAGAAAATATGTCAAATGAACAATTGAATTTATAATTTTTGTACAACTAAACTTAAAATGTGTTTAATTGAAGCATTAAAAATACAAAATATGTGCAATTGGATTTTTTTTTTCAATTTCTCTCTATAAAATTTGGTCACATTACTTATATGGCAATTGGAAATGATTATATTGGAGCTAGCTGTTCCCTTGTTTTAGTATTTATTTTGTACAAATGAACTGGTATTTTTTCAAAATAATTTGATCAGATAATAAGATATTATTGTTTAATTTCCTTGGCTTTTAAGCTAGGTTGACTGAATTCCTCTGAGAATTGAAGCTAGGTTTCATTCAAAAAAAAAAAAAAAAAACTGAACATTGAAGAGGTCATATAGAGTGTATAGTTCTACATGCAGACGAAAATAATGCAAAATTAAAGATTAAAAAAATAATCTTAATTATACTGGGCTCAACGTAACAGATCTGCTAGCTAGCTTCGATCTTCAATTCCGATCCGATAGATCCTCATCGATCCTGATGATCACAGCTCCCCGCCATGATCGGCGACATTCTCTTTTGGTGCAGGCGGCGGCACTTTATCCTTCATCCCTACCTTCTCTGCGGCGTCGTGCACCGCATCAGCCGCCGTTTTGGCGGATCCCTCAACGGCTTCTTTGGTCTGTTCAAAGCTCTTCTCCGCCGCATCTTTCAGCCTTTCTGTAGTTCCAATCTCCGCCTGCTTTCCTCCACCGCTAACGATACTAACATCATCCTTATTCGTAAAGCTACCATATATACATGCATATATAGAATTATATATATCAACAGATTCTTCCAAATTATATAGATTTATGCATCTATAGATCAGAAAAGAAAGAAATAGATACAAATTGAAGTTTAATTAATTACTCGAATTAAATCTGGAGAATGTATGTATACGTACCTGAGCTGAGCTTGGTTGAAGAGGGATTTGACATTTTCCCAGTACTGTAACGAAGCCTTTGTGAAGAGCGAGTATGTATCGAACAATATTTCCTGAGGAGATGGAGATGATTCTTTAGCCTGATCGTTTTGGGCCTGATCTGCACATGTGAAGATGGTATGAGTAGAGAATAGGGTGATCCAGAAGATGATGAACAGTAGGGATGTTCTTTTAGAATTGTCCATTATTATGCTGAGTTTTTGTGGATTAATTATGGATATGATGTAAGAATTGATCGAAGTGAATTCGATCTGTGGGGGAGTTAGAGATTGGGAAGTAGCTAGCTAACATCTACAAAACGGGGAAACGTGGGGCTCCTATTATTCATCTAGGAAACCCACGTTTGAAAATTTCATATCCCACAAATTTTTTATTTATTTTTTAATTATTTAGTATATTTATAATCTTAATTTAATTAATTTATTTATTTTTAAAAAATTGAGTTATTGTTAGGATTTTATTTAATTACTTTTAGACTAATATATAACTTTCTAAAGGTACGGTGCAAGATATTTCCCAACATTCTTATTCTTAATAGTTTTTTTTTTTACCCTACAACTAAATATTTTTTTAATGGTTCCATTGTAATTATTATACCATTTTTCATGGTCAATTTTAAAAAAATAGACCACTGATATAATGTTCATCATTTTCAATATATTGAAAGTTCATTTTTAATATATATTATTGAAGGTTCATTTTTAAGGTTTATTTTGTGTGTACTTAAGATTCATTATTTGATATGCTATCTAAAAAATGAACATTTAGTGAGTTAAAAACGAACCTTCATTGATGGACGACTACATGCAATATAATTTGCCATTCAATTGTCAAATTTTATGAGAGTGTATATATTCAAATGATAGATTTTAATAAATGTTTAGTAATTTTCATATAGAAACTTTATAAATGTCTATATAAAAAAACATTCATAAATTTTTATTATCTTTTATAAAACTTTTTATTTTAAAGTCTACAAGAATTATTAAAATTATATTCTAAATTGAATGTATATATACATCTTTATAAATTTCAATGTTTTTTTATTCTTATTACTTATAATTTTTTTGACTGGTCCTATAGGCTATATTTTCTGTCATTTAACTTTTTTTAAAACTGATGTAAGGCACGCTGCGACTACATTTTGATGTCCAAGGCATGTAGGAGAAGACAATGGTTGTTGAAGGATAAAAAATTGCCCTTCGATTTGTTACAAATTCAACTCTAAACAAAAATTCTTAGTTTAAAATTTTAAATAAGTCAATTTGTTATGGGCCAGGCAATTTAGATTGATTTACCTTTTTGTACTCTTTGTTGGCTAGAGTTATAAGACGGAATTTACCTAATGCATATCCTCGGATAATTACGATTGATTTCCTCGTCATCCCAAAAAAAAAAAAAAAAAAAAAAAATGCCTGGTTTTGTGTCATTCAAATGGGTCAAAATGAAAGAAAGCTTGTATTCATATTTCATAAGCATCATTATTGTTTAATCAACTAAAATTTTCTTAAATTGTGTTTAATTAATGCCAGTGATGTAACATATAGGAATCCAATAGAGAATTTTCTCAAAATATCGAATTAAGAGTCAAATCCATCAATATATTGATTATATTCCTTGAAGACTCATTTAGATGTTTTAGTTCCTTTGTATGGACCTGTTGGTTATAATATTATGCTGTCAAAACATTTATGACAACGTTGAGATGGTCGAGTTGGTCTAAGGCGCCAAATTAAAATTTTGGTTCAAAAGGGCGTGGGTTCAAATCCCACTCTCAACAAAATTATACACTCAAAAATTATACCTTTTAATTTACTAACGATAAAGTCTAAATTAAAATTCTAAATAAGTTTTAAAATATCTCAATCAATCCATACTACTTATTAAACCAACAATCAAATATTACATGTTTTTTAAAATTTAATTTTTATTTTTTTTTGAGAATAGAATTAAATTCTTCTTAAAATTAGAGTTACAGCTCATTAATAGAGAAAATTGATTTTTTCTATCTATATCTATAGATAAAAATGAATTCTATAGAATGTTTGCTGGGAATAAACAAATAACTATGACACAAAGATATAACGTGAAAATCATTACGATAAAAATCATGGGTGTTGAAATAAACTATATACGGATTATAATGTATTGTACATTTAGTCAAGTAGCCATGACCATTATATAAAAGGGAGAAAGATATATTATACATAAGAGAATGTATTCTCAACTTCAAGTGAGCTTGGGATCTTTTGTGAGTTTGTCAGATTTTTTTAGTCTTTATATAAGGTCATTTCCCTGTAATTGCAACTTACAACTTGCAACTTTCCCTAACAGCAAGGTCACATAATTTCTATATTATCTTGTCTTCTCCTTCTTCTTTGACTATATCATTCTTCATAACTAATGATAATAGAAAAATAATAGTTTTAGTCCCTAAATTGTTTCACTTTTGAAATTTTGTTCTCTGTTAACTAATTTAATCATATTTAGTCACTTAATTATCTATTATGTTGCACTTTTAGTCTCCTAGTATTATATAATTACCAAACTCCATTGGAAAACTTTGTTATGAAGTTATTTTTGTCATTTAGAATCAACATCCATAGTTAAAGTTTTATTTCTCCATGCGAACACCATTTTTAACCGTAAAAGTTTATTCTAAATGACAAAAAATAAATACATACATTAATGGAGTTTGACAATTATTTAAAAATAAAGAGTAAAAGTGCAATATTTTAGACAATTAAGGGATCGGATTTGTTTAATTAACTGACATGGATCAAATTTTTAAAAGTGAAACAATTCAAGGGTCAAAAGTATCATTTTCAAAATAATGACTATTTTACTATTTTTAAAGTGTTTACCCATTGTGCCAACCCATTGTGCCAAGCACCTTGTGCTCAAATGGCATGTAGCGATCTCTTCCATGTGGGAGGTCATAAGATTGAGCCTCAGTGGAGGCGTTGTTGACTCTTTGTGCTTCATTAGGTTGAGAAAGTATGCCTCAGTAGAGGCGTTTGTGCGTTAGTATCATTCAAAATTAAAAAAGTGTGTGTTTACCCATTGTATAAATTTTCAATATGTTTAAGAGAAATCGCACTTTTGGTTTCTCAATTATTAATATATATGCAATGTAGTCCTTGATTTCCAATTTGATCAGATTTGACCTCTCAATCTTTCTAACTTAAGGGAGTTAAGGCAATTTAGTGCTTCCGGTGGTTTTTACTTTATAATCCATTTAAGGCAAGGATAATTTTGGAATTGCACACGCCACTTAATATTTTCTCTCAATTTCTTCCCCTTTTGCCATTTATGCACAATTATTTGGTTGGCGAAGGAGAGCCAGAGGCAGTGGTGACGCAACTACTTCGCAGGATCGAGAAATGAGAACTGGATGCTGCCGTGAAGGCCATCTCAAGAATGTTCAACTTATTCCAATCCACAAAGATATATTATCCAATAGGAATGAGATTCCCATGAAGGTTAATGAATTGGGCGGCTTAATAGAGAGTGGCATATGGAATGATAAAGGCATGATTCTTGAATTGGGTAATTTGAAAAGGTTGTTGGAACAGTCTGAGCGGTGGGATTTAGCAGCCACACCTGGTGGCTTTCAATGTCAGCCGCATCGTTGTGGCGCAGATATGGAAGGTGATGACTATCCACTTTCAGAGAAAGTGCCAATGCTAGTGCCGATCATGGTAGGATATGGTTGATAGGCACAACCACTTGTGAAACTTATTTCAGTTGTCAAGTTTATTATTCTACCATGAAAACAACTGGGATTTGCAAACCGTGCCGATGGCCTCAAAGTCAAATAACATGGGATTTCTCCCTGGTATCGGAAATCCCCTCATCTCCTCATAATCTTATCCTTAATAATCTTTCTTTTCAAATATTGGGTAATTGTATTCATAGAAATTGAGTAATTATGTTTTCAAAAAAAAGAAGAAGAAATTAAGTGATTATAATGTCCTGTAATCAACTTATTTATGAGAATTTTTTGAATGTGAGTATGGTGAAAACATTGCATCTTTTAGTGTTAAGATTTATTCTTCAGAAAACGAATCCAGTTCTCTTATTCTGAATTGATTGATTTTGAAAAATCGCGACTATTGTTGACTATAATTGATACATACTTTCTGTTATTCTAACATATATGTTTCATGCTAGAAGGGAGGAAGAAATTGTGCGTAAATGACAGAAGGAAGGAAGAATTGAAGAAGAGAGGAAATAAATTTGGGAAAGAACCAGGGACGGAGCCAAAGGGGGGCACCTGTCCCCCCTCACCCCACCCCACCCCACCCCTACCCTACCCTACCCTACCCTATATATAGCTTTGTATATAATATATATAGTACATTATTAGTATAAGTATTATAAAACAGATTTTGTAAACAAAAGTTTTGGTAGACAAGGTGGTAGGAAATGCATTTGGGTTTCAAAATGGCTTGGGTTTGATTCCTTGCATAGACATTGTCTCAATCTTTGCTCAACATAATTAAATTTTGGCATGATATATATAACTTTCTTTTATATTAATAATGTGATGTCTTTCTTTTTTATATTAATAATGAGATGTATATATAACTTTCTTTATACTAGGACTATGTGGTCTAATGGTACCAAGGTTGGACTTTCATTTGGAAGGTTGTGAGTTCAAGCTTCAATGTAGTTCTTTGTGTTTTAGTAGGTTGAGAAAGTATATGAACAGATACTACATTGTAATAGAGCTAGTAGCTTTCAAAAAAAAAAATGGGATGTATATATAACTTTCTTTATATTAATAATGGAATGTGTAATTTATAATGTGTTTTATATTCGAATTGTTTTATCAAATTAATTATGTTTCATATTTTGTTATAAATATTTTTATAAAGTTTTAATATGTTTTATTTTTCGCTATATCCAACAATATTTATTGTTATACTTTTTAAAGTATTTCATTTTTTTTCAAACTCTCTCTTTTATTTTAATTTTTTGGCCTCACTGAAAAGAATTCCTGGATCCGCCACTGACCATCCCTACTTCGTTGCCCCCCTCAACATAATTTCTGGCTTCGTCCCCGGAAAAAACATTAAATGACGTGTGTAATTTTAAGATTATTCATGTCTTAAACAGATTCTAACTGAAAAAATATCATAAGGACACATTTAAAGTTAAAAAAATTGAAGGACTGAATATTTGAATCTGTTCAAATTGAAAATCACAAACTACAATATATATACATTAATAATTAAGGATGAAAAGTACGATTACCCCATATTTGTATACTGTTATTGTCGTATTGCCCTATTGGCTGCCTACTAGCCACAAATATAAAGTGAAATTCGCCAATAAAAAATAAAAAAATAAAAACCGACCTTTGAGAACTCAGCGGCTCAGCGCAGGTCTAAATGTTAAATTTTATAAAGTTCAATGTCCTTACGAAATTATCCATAATTGAATTCACATTTCGGAACGGGACCGTTCGCCGCCATTCTCTCGGGTGTCTTCCTCTCTATACGCCGGTTGCTCTCATATCGGGGCCTCCGTCATCGGTAACTACTTTTCTTCTCTTTTTCCTCCTCTGCTATGATATTATGCGATGTATTGATATGATTGCTATAGTAATCGGTTTAAGAACCTTTTTATTTTTTATTTTATTTTATTTTTGCATTAGATTGATTTTACACGCATAAATTGGCTTAGTGTAGAACTTGGATTTCATCACACCTGCTGCGGCCGTGATTCAGTTTCGCTTTATCTTTTTTTCTTTTCGTCGAAGAAATTAAGGAGTGGAAGCAATTTATTCGAATGGAAAAGAGTGTGAAGTTTCTCTGATTCGGTGGAATCATGTAATGAACTGATCTCACGAAACTCAGAAAAGAAGTTTCAGAAACATATAGTGGTGAGGAGAGAAAGTTACTTAAATTACAACAATAGATTGCAGCAAGGGGAATTAGAAGTATAGCGAAGAAGAAACTCACACAATAGAAATAATGAAAATACATGATAATGTTAATTTTTATAAAAACAGAGAAAACGTAAGGAAATGTAGTTTTCAATTTCAGAATGCCAATTCCAGAATGGAATTGCTGCGATTTTAGGTGGTTTTGACATATCTGATTGGATGCTAGAGTATTTGCCCTAAAACAAAATAACAGACTCCATTATGCTCAACTTGAGCAGCAAGGCAACCAAAATGACATTGTTTTGATTTTTGAAGCCTTGTTTCCCAGTTTAGAGTTTGATTCTATGTCCTAAATTTCTAGGTAAATTGTCTGCATACTGTTAGCCTGCCACTTGCTTTCGTCTAATGATGTTCATTCATAACATATGACATATCTCAACTTTCACATGCATATTCTCCCATATGTGATATGCTCCATATAGTATTGTGTTTACAGAGCTCCTCTGAGTATCTAATTAGTAATAGTTTATTTCATTGGAGATCTTCGACATAATAACTTGCGTAATTTAAATGAGATATAGTAGTTTCTTGCAGTTATTAAATTGATAAATATCATTACTATCTACAGTTACATGACTTCCTTAATCCTCATCATCGTAGTTTTATTTAATTTCAGGAAGTTTACACTCATTGATTAGAAATGTCATTGGCTGCTAGTGCTGTTGGGCATCCTGCTACATTTCCAACAGGTATGTCAATAGTGATATTCTCTTCTAGCAATTATGGTTCTATATCTCTGTCCATATTACATAGGGGATGAAAAATATTTGTTTGTTGTAAACTACAAATGAATATGACAATATGCTAGAGACACATCATCTTCTTGTCTGTTAGAAATAAAGAAGTCTTGAACAAAGAAGGATTTGCTTTACGGAACACTGGTATATGTAATTGAACAGATATCAAGTAGCACTGTGCATTTATGTCCCCAAGATTGGAAGGTGCGGGTGCACTATCAACACTTGGAAACACTTAATCATGGTCTTAATCTATCTTTTTGACATTATCATACTTTGCTGTTTAACTTACAGTTGTGACCTTTTCCATACTTCTTTTCCTAACTTCGTTGTTGACAACATGAGATGTCATTGGATTATCATGTAGGCAAGTGGAAACTAGCTTCTGCTTTCTTGACCTTCTTGTTCTTATCCTTGTTGCTTTTGACAAATTAGAGGGAATGGGGAATTGAACTAATGGCCTAGGGTTTAGGAAACTGGCAGCTTAAGTTAGCCACTGGATTGAAGGATTATTGGCATGACGCTTCATACTTCAACATCCACAAAATCCTTCCAAGAACTCTTGGTTGCATTCATTGAAATTTTTTACTATTTCTAAATTATACTTCATATAATTAGGCATCATTAAAAAAATTGCTTGCAGGGCATCAAGGCTGTAAACAAATCAAGCACATTGCATTCGTTCCAGTTGGACTAAAACCTCTTCACCCAAGAATAAAAATCAGTGAATGTAGAAGACATATAACATGTGCTACACAAGGGAGACGTTCTTCCGTAATTTGTGCAGCTGCTCGGGTAAATCCCTTTTCCAATCCGTTGTTGTGTTAGAAAATTGCTTTGCTTGTCGCTTAGCAGCCATGTAGTTCTGATATGTCCGTCTAATGAGGCTTTTTTTTTTTTTTTTTTTTTTTTTTTAATTTTAATAATTAAATGTTTCAAGTTGTTAACAATGAGTGCAATGCTCTGAAAGTTTTGGATATTGCCTGATTCCTATATGGGAGTGTGATGTTGGTACTTGGTAGTGTTTTTAGAATTCTATGGTACTTTCAACTGGTTTGGTTGAGAGTAAAATTGGAAACCACTCAATAGTGATGAAACATGTATTAAAATATGAGCTGATTTATTTATTTATTTATTCATTCATTATCATCAAGTGTTGTGGTCGCTGCCATTAGGTTTGGTCAGGCACACACACATAGATAATTTCTGCATTGATATATATGTATCTTTTCTTGAACACTTCAGAATGCGAGATGTGCTGCTGAAGGGCAAACCCAAACTGTTACTCGTCAATCATCAACCATTACAGTTGCACCTGTTCAAGGTCATTCTTTTCTGTTTTCATTAGTTACCATTGAAAGAAATAGTCTGCTTTGTATCAAACAGGCACATTGCGAGTTTCTGGCTGAAAATGATGTGTTCAAAGTGTTGAACTGTTTTTGTTATTTCCATTTTCCAGGGAAGGAAAAATCTCCAGAGCTTGATGACGGTGGGACAGGATTTCCGCCCCGTGATGATGATGGTGATGGTGGAGGCGGTGGCGGTGGTGGAGGCAATTGGTCAGGTGGGTTCTTCTTTTTTGGCTTTCTTGCTTTCCTGGGACTTCTGAAGGACCAAGAAAGCGAGTCACCATATCAAGAGGACAGAAGAAGATGAAAGAACTATTTGAATGTGCAATGCACCTCTTAAACGTGTAGGTCCTATAGGCATGTGACTGTTTCCCTTCTATTCATTTCCCCTCAATTTTTTGAAGTTATGGTTGAAGGTCTAATAATGCTTATTGGCCCTCAAGATTTTTACAACTGATGTAGTGAATGCTATGCTATATACTAGAGAGTTGAATGTTGAGATCTTCTCCAGAGAGTAGAAAGATGATAAAATACAGAAGAAGCATAATATAGAAGTGCACTTTTAATTTTTTTTTTTTTTAAATAATGTTAGGAAATATATGTTGAGAGCCATTTGCATCTGGCTAAAAGTGCCTTGTCTAAGGGAATTACAGCTGTAGTTATTGATTCTGGAGGTATTTATCCCAAGGTTTTACAACAACTATAAAAAATTGTTTTGAGGGTATGTGGAGGCTCATAAAAATTGTGAGATGATCTTGGTGTTCGAGTTTTTTGCACAACATAAGTATTTATAAAAAAAAATAAAATTGTATAGAAGTAAATTGTGTTGATATTATGATCTTCACTATTAATTGTAATTGTAAATGTTCATAAGGACTTCTGATTGTAGAATGTGTTGTTGCAAGAGTATTTTTGACTGGGAGGGAGTTGTGAGTCATTTTGGTGTCTTGTAGGTCTGTAGGAGAACTCGAAGACAATGGTTGTAGATCATTGATCAACAACCTCTTTATGTCATTAAAATGAAATAAATTATGAAGGGAAGCTTGTATTCATCAATCAATTTTTGCTAGTTAAAGAGGAAACTTCTAGGCTTTGATTGAGAATGGAATGTGAGTATAATGTATTCATAATCATCATTAATGTTTAATCAATTAAAAATTTGTTAAATTGTTTTTTTTTAATCAATACGAGTGATACAACATATAGCCATATAGGAATTCACTAGATTTTCACTAAAGAATTAAGTCAAATTCATCGTTTAGGAAAAATATTCCTTAAAGAAATATATATGAACATTACAAACATTTATTGTAAAGTTGAGATGGCCGAGTTGGTCTAAGGCGCCAGATTAAGGTTCTGGTCCGAAAGGGCGTGGGTTCAAATCCCACTCTCAACAAGAATTTTTTAAAGCTTCTGGCAGCGCCCCTCCAAATTGGTATTCAATACTTCACATATCTAAATACTACATTGATATAAGAAAGCAACTGTAACTTTAACGTTCAGTTGAGATGGCCGAGTTGGTCTAAGGCGCCAGATTAAGGTTCTGGTCCGAAAGGGCGTGGGTTCAAATCCCACTCTCAACATGAATTTTTTTTTACACTTCTGGCAACCCCCCTCCAAATTGTTATTCATACTTCACATATCTGAACACTCCATTGATGCAAGAAAGCAACTGTAATACCAACATTCAGTTTTCAAAACTAAAGTATTAGGACTTAGGCGGGATTGAGGTCTATTCCATGTAATAGATGGAAGAATTGGAGCTAAAAAGCATGCAAAATATCGGATAAATGGATATAACACCTGAAGTCAGCAGCAGAACATGTGTGACACTTGATCATATATTTTTTGCTTTTGGAAAAGACTTATTATAATTTATATAATTTTATTTTTATTTTTTTTAAAATCCCCACTACTATGGTCTGCTCTCATTTATTTTTCTTTGAATTGGTTAAGTTGATTTCCGAAATCGTGTTGTTTCTGTGGTTTATGATTTACGAGCCACTGGACCCTAATGAAACCGCATCACTCCTTCAAATGATTCATTCAATTACAAGATTAGATGATGAAAGGTGTCACTAAAATAGTATTAGTAATGGTGATAACATAATTTTTGAAAATAGTGCGTGTAAGAATTAAGAAGGCAACCTGTTTTCCACATGTTAACATCTTCGTAGTGCTGCACTAACAATTCCCTAACCATCAAAATCGATCAACAACACCACATATACATATACTTGAAAACATAAACAGAATCTTCGATTCTCCAAAGTCTTGCCGTTATTTTACAAGCTTGGACTCTCATGTCATATAAACTAATACCAACACACCAACAACTACAACCATATTACCGTACCGTTGAAATAGGTTTGTTTATTCTTTTTGCTTCTCTTTTATTTACCTTTCTCAGCTGTCGGACGATTTCAGGAACTATTGAATATAAAATGTGAGACCAAAGCCCTTCACAGCAACAGCTTTTGAACCTCTTTTATTTGACTGTATGGCCATCTGCATCTAGCTCGAGCCAGCCTAGAGTAATTGTGACCAAGCTAGTTATTCACTTCTGATATCTCAAGCGATTACTGGCCATTATAACCGCCCATAAGTGCCTAGCATATCTCTTAACTTCTTTGCTTCGTTGCCCAAGCTGTCAAAGCTGATAGAACGAGGTATTCTCCAACTCCAATTCCCAAACTGCAGGAAGGAAAGAATACAGACAGGAACAAAAGGAAACTATATCAACTATTGGCTGATTAACAAATTTCACAATGTCTAAATTCTATGGGCATTTATTCCACCAATGGAAGTGTACTGATTCTAAATTATCCACTCTTTATTAAATTGAAGTTGTTAAAATTATAGAACTGTGGCTGAAAGAAGGTTGAATGATGCGGTTGCAAAATATTCGGGGGGAAATATTAAAGATCCAAAATTGAGAAAAGAAAAGAAAAACCTTTCACCCAGGAAACTATAGAAACTCTAAGTCTCGGTGAGAACCTGATGAGGAAAAGCATTAACTACTAATACACTTTCCCGAGTTTATATAAAGTAAAGAGATTTAACCTGAGTTGCAGGAATATTCATCCTAGCAGAAGTTCCAAGGCCAAGGATATCTTGCATGGGTATGATAGTGGTTTGTGCCACTGAAGCAAGTGCAGCCTGGATTAGGCCCCAGGAAATTTCATGCTCATCAATGCTTGGAAGATACTTTAGTACCTGAATTTCATTGTGAATAACAGGACAAACATGAGTACAACAGCCACTCACCAGAAGTTGAATATCACACCATACTTACATTGGATTTCTCTTCTTGTGGCAGGCCATCCCACCAGCCTTGGATCTACACAAGCGTGCAAAATCATAAATTACATTCTAAAAATAACTTCTGTTACTTTCCAAAATACACAGATATGAACAACTGTTTAGTTTCATTAACTTCGAATATTTTCTTTTAATCTAAAGTCTAAACAATATCCTCTTTCTATCCTTCACAATTTAAAATGACTGCCATATTGTGAGAAAGAGAATGTTGCTACAGTTAAGAATATTAGTTTTCGGTCATTGTAAGATGTGTAAAGCTCCTGCATCATCCAGGGTAATAGTAAGATGTATGTGATTTTAGCTCTACTTTTAGAGAGGTAATTGGGCATTACATCATGACCTAATGGTCCAAAGTACAGCAAAAGGTAACAATTAAGAGCATTGGCAAATTACCGTGTCATTATCATGAGTCCCAGTATATACTACTTGGTTGCACTCATGGTTATGAGGCAAGTGAGGGTTTTCAGCATCACTTCCAAAGCCTGGACACCACAATCCAAATTAAGTTTAAACAAAAATTCCCACATGAATTTCAAGGATGCAAATGAAGACATTTATGGGCACTAAACAGGAAGTAGCTACCAAATTGCAGGACAGCCATTCCAGGTGCCCCAATGGACTTCCTAAGCTGAACTACATCCTCAGTAATGACTCCCTGCATTTAGCATCAGAGAGTTAAAACAATGTGTGTGCGAGTGCAGAATGAAATTTAAAGAGAAAATAATCTTAGAGTAGTTTCCCAGAACTTACCAGGTCTTCAGCTATAATACTTATCTTTCCTACAGCTCTGGAGATGGAATCAAATAAAGGTTTCCCAGGACCCACCTACAGTCAAGATAAAAATAAGAGGGTTCCTACAAAGTACAACCAACAAAGAAAAAACAGCAGAAATGAGATGATACAACCTTCCAACGGCCATCCATTGCAATTTTTGCTTCTGCATATATCCACAGAAACAAACTGTTAGGTTTCCTTTATACAGAGAAATAATATCAGCAGTAATCACAAAGACTCAGTTAGACTAAACATCATTTTACCAGAGGGGACAGCCCAGAAGCCTGCAAATCCTCTGAAATGATCAATCCTGAATTCATCAAAAAGATCCTGAGCTCGTCTTATGCGCCGTACCCACCATGAGAATCCATCTTTTTCCATAGCTTTCCAATTATATAGAGGGCTTCATCCAAAATAAGCAAAGTCAATAATTGCATTCTTGATTAAAGAATCCCATTCTTGATTTTTATTTATTATTACTATTTTTTTAAAAGTACTTCACATTCAGTAATAAAGCATTAATACTAAAACCAGAATCCTGGATAACTGAAATTTGCCTTTAGATGCAGTATGGACAAATGCAGATAATCAGGTTTCTTGAATGGTATTAACCTGCCCCATAGCTGACCAGTTTCGCTGAAGGCATCCGGGGGAACTCCACTAACCAGAAGGGGAAAGCCTTTCCTGTTCTGTTACAATACAGAAGCTTAAGGACCAACCACAAACACTATGGAAGGTTGCAAAATGGATCCAGATAAAGTCCTCATCAAGAAGACACTAACCAGCAAAAATTGTTTTGTATTTGCCCAAACGTCTGCACTGTGGTAACCAACATAGATTGGCATGTCTCCCATTATACTTATTCCCTTCTTCTGTGCATAATTACGCAATTTCTGCCACTGCCTTTGGAACAAGAACTGTTGAGCAATGAATATATCTATCTGTACCAGTTCAAGTATTAGTGCTCACAGTTTTTCAGATATCACAAGCATAGAAGAATGAGGATAATGCAGACTTCTAGAGTTCTTACAAAATCCTTTTTAGTTTGATAAATTTCTTCTAGTGCAGCAAGATGACGATTTTTTAATGGTTCTGGCCAAATATACCAACTAAATGTATTAAAAGTACTGTCTATAGCAGCAAAACAAGCTGCATCCTCAAGCCAACCTGAAATGCATTAAAGTAGATAAAGAAGATTTCATTATAGAAGCAAGTGCAATGCATTGAGAAAAGTACTATATAGATTATTGAGCACAAGAAAAAGTTTGTTGAATTGTAGTGGATGGTTTACTCAATCTTTCAACAGAATACGAAGTAGTAGCACTAATTGATAAGACCAGGCTCAAGCACATAAGTAACTAAGGTACCTAATGAAGTTATTTAGTCAATAAGAACGTATACTTTTTTAACAAAGTACTAAACAGGAGACATGATTTTTACACAAATTTAGTTATATAAAATAACATGTATTACCTGAGAAAAGAAAAACAGAATAACTTAATAAATAGCTAGATCATTCCTAAATATTTAGAAATCACAAAAATATGCTTTATAATTTTAGTTTGCTTTTAGCTTAGAATATTTAGAGACTCAAGAATACCCAGTTTCCATATCATGTGTCCCCTTAGATTAGTATCAGTACCCCTCACTATTGTAATATTTATCTATTGAACTATTGACTTTATATTCAATATAAAGTATTTCAAGTATTTCTCTTAATACAATTTAACGCAAATTATGCAATAATGGAGATAAGGAAGATGTTTATCTCACTTGCAATACTTCTATCCTTACGAAATTGTTCAAGCTCATACTTGAGTTTCCCTTGACTGGAAATAAGCCTCTCTGCAGCCTAAAGAAGAAATAATAGATTAAAAAATGCAGTTGCTGTGGCAAGAACATCATAGAGTATTAAAGAGAGTTATTAACTATTTCAAGGTCGATATAGAAAACCTTAAGAAAAAAAAAAGGGAGCTAATGATAGTTGACAAAATACTTATTTCAGTATTTCCAGAGTTTTTTCAAGACATTTTGTTCCCACTACTCCTTTTCCTTCCCAAAATAAATTAAAAATAAAAAATAAAAAAATCTATAAGTTGGTATTAAGAATTAAGCTGAATATACTTCTGTCAAGGTTTTCAATCTCCCCAGAAGCTGTGCAGCACTTCTCTCCAATATGTGATAAGTGATAATCACATGTACTAGGAAAAGGCTCTCAAGATCTTTTACCTTGGCTATTAGAGGATCCTTTATTTCAGCAACAGTTGCGTAGTCCACACGATCCATGACTCTGAAACAAAAGCAAGTAAAATCCTAAGATAAAGTCATGATAATATACAGCAAATAGATAAGCACAAGAATGCTGCAGCTGATAAAATTCACTACAGAGGTTCTGGAAGCTCCTCTTTCATTAGCAAGCCATCATCCACAAGTTCTTCAAGAGAAATCAAAAGGGTATTGCCACAATTTGCATCCTGAAAGTAATCATTGGTAGACCACATTTCAATTTCTTAAGGTTCAACTATGAGCTTCAAAATTTTATAAAAGGTGAATATCTAATTAAATGACACATGTTTTGAAGCAAGATTACAAGCTTTCAAGAAAGAAGGGAAGATTAATGCACCATGAAAAATGAAGCAAGTTCAATTTCAGTCATTAGAGTGCACATCTCCAAAGTTTGTATCCATAGTAAATAATTTTCTTATTGAATAAAACCAAAATCATCAGCTTCTTGTATTCTATTCATCTATGGTATAAGAACTTCAATTTATGTTAAAGGGACAAAGGCTTACAAACAAAAAATTGGAGTGAATAACTCACCTGGCCTGAATAGGGTGATCCTTCTTCATTAGCTCTCCTTCCAGGAGGGACAAGAGGAAGTACCTGCACACATGCACCCCTCATACATGAATCATGATCCTGCTACTTTCTTCGTTTTCAATGAACAAAAATTTAAACAATTTCATTATCATTGCGATTAAATTAAATGAATGACAATCAGTACACTGAAAATGTATAGGGAAAAAATCAGCGTCTCTCCAACGGCAAAATTCAGCATTTCCCGGCAAGTTCACGATGTTTGTATGATCATCAAATCAATAATGCGAGAACAGGAGTGTCAAAATACGAGACCGGTAGAGCAATGTACACCACAGAAACACTATCTAATCGCATATAAACCCGAGCTAGTGCAATTTCCATAATTATACCAAAATTTAATGGATCAGATCAGTAATACAGGTAAAACGGTGCAAACCTGCCAAAGAGAGCAACCGGCATCGTGAAGCCAATCGAGGAACCGGAAAGCCTGGGGGCCAAGGTCTCCAATGCCGTAGGGGCCAGGAAACGACGTCGGATGGAGGAGCACTCCAGCTCGTCTGCGATCACTGGTAGTGGAGTAGCGGTTGGGGAGCCAATCCGAGTAATCCAGCGGCAAGTCATCGCCGACGGCGGTCGTGACGGTTCCGTTTTGAAAGCTCACCGCGAGCAACGGTCCCCGGCGATTAAAACCGCGAGGTGGTGGAGTGAAGAGAGCGGCGGAGGTGGCCGAGAGCTTGGCGTTGGAGGGAGAGAGGAGAGAGAGAGGGAGTGAGAGAGAAGTGTGAAGCGCCATTATTGAGGAACAGAACGGAATTGATTAGTGAGAGAGAATTGAATTCTGATTGTTCATTGCTTCTGAGGAGTTAACGGTGAGCCTGAGCTAGCAGTATCCGGTTGCGGGAGTGTAAGTGAGATCGGGAAGAGAACATGAAACATGTGAGAGCACGTGACTTTATTTTACATCTACGTTGCCTCTTTCGCACCGGAGTAAATTTCGCGACCGCATGGTGCTCCTATATTGGGAGAAAAATAAGTAATTAATGCCTAATAATGAGTAGAGTTAATACACGATTTGGTCAATTGATTATTAGAATTTCATCATTTTGATCTTTAATTTTTAAATTTGTTCAATTTTATTCTAATTATTATACAATTGTTAACCAAAATGGTCCTAATCAGCATTATTTTGATTTGAACAAAAGACTATTTTAAGTAAAAATTACATAATTGGAGATAAAATTGATCAAGTTTAAAAGTTGATGACCAAAGTGATAAAATCTTAATAGTTGAAAGACGAAATCAGATATAAACTCTAGTTAGTATAAAATACTGCTTCCACACCAACTATTATATACTTTGATGACACATTTGTTATCATTTTAAAAATAATAATGCTCCCACACACTCCGCTAAGAGCAGTAGTGCATTTTGAAGTGTTTTTCTTCAAATTTTAGCTTAGGTGAAAGAGAGATATGTGAGAGGAAATGAAAGAAAATAACACTATGTAAAATTTGATTTTTTAATTTATTTTTATTTTTGCACATCTCTCTTATTTGGCATCTCAAATTTTGAGATAAGCTCAATGTGTTGAGATGCTTTAAAGGGTATTTTTTGAATTTTTTTTTTAAAAATCAAAATGCTATTCTGAAAATAATACACACACATTTGAAAAAAGTTCCTCAATTTTATAGTACTGAGAAAAGAAATTGAATGAAATGCCTTGCTACTCTTTGTTCAAGTTTCAACCTCCAATGCATTCATAAAATTCTGCAATTCAATACTCTAGCCAAAGTGACTAAGGCAGTACCTCACTAAAAAGTAACAACAATCTCATTTGAAAACTAAAACAAAAACCGCATACAAAGAAAAGATTCAAGCTTGCTCCTGCCATTAACCTCGCACCTTAGCTCGAGAACTGAAGAAGTTGAAGACCATCCCAGAATACCGAGAAAGTGTAAAAAGCATTTGCAAGACTGCACGACCTTTAACGATCCCCTCCCTTATGCCCCTCGCCTTTCTAGCCACTGCTGGCCCTGCTATCTTTGTCTGCATTGGGGCCTGCGTGGTTGCTAATAAAGTGAAGACGAAGCGAAATTCATCACCCAGGACAATTTCGAGGATAAAAGCTAGTGGTCTCAAATGACAGCTAAATACTGTTAACCTGATCGTGTAATGTTTGTAAGCTGTTGCAGCCTTTCCTCTGTTACACGGACAGCTTGAGTAGAGCGTCTCACGCCATGTGTTATTTCCTGACTGTAAACAAACCAACTAAAGTAAGAACAATGTATTCAAGGGAATCAAGGCTAAAGACATAACTGCATGAGTACCCAAGGTCACTGAGCTCCATTGTCAGGTCACTAATCTCCATTCCAGATAACCGCACTGCAGCCATTGTTTCAGGAAGCTCCTCTCTCATGACATCCATTAGCTTCTCAAGCGATGATGCAGCTCTTCTAAAGGCCTAACATCCAAATCTGAACATTAAGCTCGGAAAATATATAGGGAGGGTGAGCTGTTAGAGGAGAAGGGAGCGGGGCATTTGACACATTCATTGATTTATTGTGTTCAAGTCACTTTTCAAACCCACCCGTGAGGCTTATGAACACTCCTATCAAGACTCATAATGGCCACGAATCTTCTATATGATCTCTTATTCAGCTAAAGTCTTCCACAAAGACCATTGGATATAGGTGAAGGCATATGTAATATATTTTATGTTCTATAGCATAATTCCATCATTGAAAGTTAGATGAGAGAACCTAATTTCTTATTCAGAGAGGCTTGTTCCAGATGCAGCTATTTCCCAACTGTGAATTTCTTTCCACTCCCAGTAACACATAAAATTCTGCATTAGCCAATTCAGAAAAGAAAGTATTTCATAATTTTACTGCATTTCAGTTGGCAAGCACAAAAATTTTAACCCATAGATAAGCATTCGCAAAGATTTATTGAACAAATTGGATCAACATGAGAAAATATTACAGAAAGGAAAATGATCGTCAGAACAAACCAGTAGAGTTGGAATCGCAGAGCAAAACAGCCAGGTTGCAGAAATCGCTGCCTGCAAAGTGAAAGACAATAACATTAAGAAAATTGAGTGATACTCAAGGGTCTCGGGCACAATCGGTTCAATACTAAAAGAAATTTGATAAAATTAAGTATCCTGGCAATAAATTGAAGTATTTCTTTCAGAGATAGTTTAATCAGCTGTGAAGAACTCAAATTCAAATGGAATGAGTAGGAACAAAAATAAGGGCATTATATACAAATGGAAAATGTGCGCGCGTGAGACAGGGAGAGTAGTACTGTGCAGGCAATGAAACTGAGGATTTGAATGTGGCGAGGAGTGAGGACGAGCTGAAGGGCCGGAGAAGATCCAACGGTGGATGTGAGGCGAGACTGATCGGACAGCTCCGATGAGGAAGCATTTTCGGATTGAATCGAGAGAGACGCGAATCGACGTTGCTGAGGTAATCGAAGGGATAACGGTTGGAAGCCGGAGACTGTGTCTCCGGCGAGTGCTCGGCCGGAATTTGAACTAAGCGCCGCCGTAAATAGCGGCAATTTTAATGTACTCATTATCGTCATTTGTCTCACTCTGTTTCCTGTTGCACAATCTGCCGTCTACGTATTTAACTCTCCGTTTCTCCCATTTTAACGTCATTTTCCATCTACCGTTTGAAATTACAATTAAAATTAAATTTAGGGGAAATACCATCTTTTAGCGAAGTTATTTTTAAAGGACAACTATTAAAAGGGAAAACAATAATTTTGATACTTAAATTGTTTTGCTTTTGAAAAATTGATCATTATTAATTGATCACCCCTTTTAATATCAACTTGAGTTGGGTAGCTCCCTATGACAATAGTTATGCTGTGCAACCGAATGTACCATGCGCATGGTGCATACGGTTCAAAACGACGTCGTTTTGATTAAAAACGCGCGTCCTACTTTAAAAAAAAAAATCAGGTTTGACTCTCAGCAATAGCATTATTGTGGATATATAGTTATGAAATTGTGGATATATAGTTATGAAATTGTGGTTATATAGTTATGAATTTATGGATATTTAGTTCATTCATTGTGGATATTTAGTTCAATCATATATTGTGGATTTTTACTTCATTCATTCATTGTGGATTTTTACTTCATTCATTCATTTATTGTGGATTTTTACTTCATTCATTCACTGTGGATATATAGTTATGAAATTGTGGATATATAGTTATGAAATTGTGGTTATATAGTTATGAATTTATGGATATTTAGTTCATTCATTGTGGATATTTAGTTCAATCATATATTGTGGATATTTAGTTCATTCATTGTGGATTTTTACTTCATTCATTCATTCATTGTGGATTTTTACTTCATTCATTCATTGTGGATATATAGTTATGAAATTGTGGTTATATAGTTATGAATTTCTGGATATATAAAAATGTTATTGCCGGGAATCGAACCTGATTTCTTCTTTAAGTGGGACGCGCGTTTTTTTAACCAAAACGGCGCCGTTTTGCAACTGTATGCACCTTGCAAGGTGCATTCGGTTGCACAACATAATTTGCGTCCCTATGATAGGAAATAGCAAAAGTCAAAAGAGCAATGAGTCCATATGTTAAACAGTCAATAACAAAAAATGGCTGAAAGTAAAAATGTTGAAAGGGACAGGGGAGAAAGGAACTGATAACGGTTTGAGATATTGTCATTATTAGGACTCTATGTATATGAGTCTGTTTAGAACTTCTTATCCTTGTCACACTGTGACTCTCTACTTCTTATCATTGTCACAGTGTGACTCTCTATTCTATATATTCACATCATCTGATCTCATTGTAATCAAGTTCAGAAAATATAATACAATCAGTTCTCATCTGGTATCAGTTAGCTAGGGTTTTGTGATTCATAAAATTAAGAAGATGCAGCGCTGCGATGGCAACATTAATTACCGTGGAGGTCAGCAACGTGGCTTCGATGATCCGTGTCAAATCTGTAAAGGTTTCGGCCACACAGGAGTCAATTGTTTTTGGCGCTATGATGATCCGTGTCAAATTTGTAAACGTTTTGGTCACACGGGAGCCAATTGTTTTTGGCGCTATGATGATCCGTGTCAAATTTGTAAACATTTTGGTCACACGGGAGCCAATTGTTTTTGGCGCTATAATGATCCGTGTCAAATCTGCAAAAGTTTCGGTCACACGGGAGTCAACTGTTTTCGGCGATATTCAGGGGTTCCGGGTTCTCAGGCTAATTTGGTGTTTCAGAATGGTTTAGTTGCTAAAACCTCGTCAAATTCTCATACTTGGGTTCCGGACATTGGAGCCACAAATCATGCAACTCCGAACGTCGCTGCTCTTTCTACATCGGAGAAGTACACTGGTAATGACACTTTACGTGTCGGTGACGGTATGGGTTTATCTATTAGTCATGTTGGCAATGCCTCTTTTAATACCCCTTCTAGATCATTTACATTGTCTGATATACTTTACGTTCCGCGTTTGTCTAATTCTTTATTATCTGTTCAGAAGTTTGCATCCGATAATAAAGTCTTTTTTGAGTTTCACCCCTCATTTTTTGTTGTAAAAGATATCAATACCAAGGAAATACTTCTTCGGGGCAATAGTTCGGGGGGACTATACACACTTTCATTACCTAGTTCGTCTCCGTCAGCGTTTATTTCCGCTCGTGCCTCGGCTTCCACTTGGCACAATCGTCTAGGTCATCCTCATAACCGTGTTCTTAGCCATATACTTCGTTCTTGTTTGGTTAGTGGGTCTCGTGATAATATTCGTTGTCATAATTCTTTATGCAATGCGTGTCAATTAGGCAAATCTGCCCGTTTTCCCCTCCCCCGTGTTGCTTCCTCTAGTTCTCAAGTCCTAGATCTTATTTACACAGACATTTGGAGTCCTGCGCCCACTTTATCTACTTCTGGCTTCCGTTATTTTGTGATCTTTGTGGATGACTATTCCCGTTATACATGGTTCTTTCCTATGAAATTAAAGTCTGATCTTTATGTCATCTTTGATAAATTTCGTACTCTTGTTGAACGGTCCTTTAATTGCAAAATAAAGGCCATTCAGTCTGATTTAGGTGCTGAGTACAAAAAGTTGCATTCTTTGTTTGTTCAATTAGGAATTCAACATAGACAATCTTGTGCCTATACACATGAACAGAATGGTCGTGTTGAACGAAAACATCGTCACATTGTTGAAACTGGTCTGGCTCTTCTAGCTCATGCCTCTGTTCCTTTGAAATTTTGGGATTTTGCCTTTGAGACTGCTGTCTATTTAATTAACAGAATGCCATCTTCTGTATTAAATAACTCCAGTCCTCATCTCCTGTTACATAAATCCCCTCCTTCTTATCTTTTTCTTCGTGTCTTTGGGTGTTTATGCTACCCTCATCTTCGACCATATAATCGTCATAAGATGTCATACAGGTCTTCTCCATGTGTCTTCCTAGGTTACCCTGAGTCCTTTAGGGGGTACAGATGCATGGACTTACATACTAATAAGATTTACACATGCAGGCATGTCAGATTTGATAAAGAAGTTTTCCCCTTTGCTACTAAAACTTCTTTGCAGGATCTATCTACTCCGTTTTCTGGACCTTGGGCGGAATCTGTTCTCAGTCACAGCACACCTATTCCTGCCGTGTCCAATGATGAGCTGCCAGAACCGCCGCTACCTGCTTCATTCGAACCAGCCGTGGTTCCTGGACAGGCTGCCTCGTCGGGTGATCCTGTGGAGCCTGTTGCTCGCCGGCGAGGCCGTCCACGTGGGCGGTCCATCAGGCCCAATGTCCGTACTCACTCTATGGCCACTCGCAGCAACGCAGATGCTCCTCTTTTTGCTCTAGCAGCTCAAGTGCATCCCACGGAACCCACATGTTACTCTCAAGCTGTCAAATATCCTGAGTGGCGTGAAGCCATGGACCAAGAATTCAATGTTCTCCTGCATAACCACACATGGTCTCTAGTTCCACCCACTGCAGGTATGAATATTATTGGCTGTAAATGGGTGTTTCGTACGAAGAGAAAGGCTGATGGTGCTATTGAAAGGCATAAAGCCAGGCTGGTTGCGAAAGGTTTTAATCAGGTTCCAGGTCAGGACTTCTTCGACACTTTTAGTCCAGTGGTAAAGCCTACGACTGTAAGACTCCTTCTATCTCTAGCTTTATCATCTGGGTGGTCTATCAAACAGCTAGATGTTCATAATGCTTTTCTGAATGGTAATCTGGCTGAAACAGTTTATATGAAGCAACCCCCTGGTTATATTGATGCTAACTTCCCGAATCATGTTTGTTTGTTAAAAAGATCTCTGTATGGGTTAAAACAAGCTCCCAGAGCTTGGTTTAATCGACTACATACGTTCTTACTATCGGTTGGCTTTCAAGCATCCAAGACAGATGTCTCTCTGTTCTATTACTCTAAAGACTCTGCTTTGGTTTATCTATTGGTGTACGTGGATGACATTCTTGTAATGGGAAGTGATCAAGGTATTATGTCTCAGCTCTTATCCAAACTGTCTGCTACATTCAAAATCAGAGATCTTGGTGAACCAAATTTTTTTCTGGGTATTGAAACAGTTAAGAGTGACAATGGGATTATTTTATCTCAACAACGGTATATGAATGATATTTTAAAACGGGCTGGAATGTCTGAATGCAAACCCCTTTCTACACCTATCTCTGTCTCGAAAACTGTCCCCTTCAATTCAGATCTATATGATGATCCCACACAGTACAGGAGTCTAGCTGGAGCACTGCAATATCTCACTGTCACACGACCTGACCTATCCTTTGCAGTTAATCAGTTATGCCAGCATATGCATGCCCCCACCATATCACACTGGGAGCAGCTCAAACGGGTACTCAGGTATGTTAAGGGAACAGTTGATCATGGTTTACGCATACGACGGTGCTCATCTAGAGACATTCATGCTTTCTCTGATTCTGATTGGGCTGGTTGTCCTGACGATCGAAAATCCACGAGTGGTTTTGCTGTTTTCTTGGGGAGTAATCTTATATCATGGGTTTGCAAGAAACAGAGAACTGTTGCCAGGTCATCCACTGAGGCTGAATACAAAGCTCTTGCAGATGTTTGTGCTGAGGTTCTATGGATTATGTCATTATTGCGTGAGATACAGATTCCGGGTATTTCCATTCCAAAATTATGATGTGATAATCTAGGAGCTACATATATGAGTGCCAATCCAATCTTTCATGTGCGCACCAAGCATGTGGAGATTGATTATCATTTTGTTCGTGATCGAGTAGCTTCGGGCGATATCCAAGTCAACTTCATCTCCACAAAGGATCAACTTGCTGATATCTTCACCAAAGCTCTGCCTGGACCTAGATTTTCTTCCTTAAGGGACAAGCTACAGGTTACTAGTATACACTGTGCTTGAGGGGGAGTATTAGGACTCTATGTATATGAGTCTGTTTAGAACTTCTTATCCTTGTCACACTGTGACTCTCTACTTCTTATCATTGTCACACTGTGACTCTCTATTCTATATATTCACATCATCTGATCTCATTGTAATCAAGTTCAGAAAATATAATACAATCAGTTCTCATCGTCATTCTATTAAGAAAAAAACTTCAAAACATGT